AATGCATACTTTACAATGTTCAACTGGTTGCCTAGCTATTTTCATGAATCATTTCCAGAAGCTCAGGTATTTGTTTTGTTGTTGTCGAAAAATCTTTCACGAAGCGTCTGTTATAAACATGGCGTCAAAGGGCGTGACAGGCAGAGCTCGAGCGTTAGCGGATCCCTCCGCCCACTTTGAACTACCTATGGACAGCAGCTTCGCTGAACTCCCTTGAGAGTATGCTGAGCTAAATAATAGTACTCATGGAAAACTGGGTTATCAGTACTAATAGAAAATTGCTCCTGTTCAATCCTACAAAATCAGAGAATTTTCGGAAAAGGCGAGACAACTGAATATTCTTCGGGTAAAGCAAAAGCAAGCTTAGGAGGGGAAAGGAAAGAGATAGTGCCTTGACAACTGGAAAATGAAGGAAGGGAGCGGAAGGTTCGAAGCCGACTAACCGCAAATATCGGGATTTCATCCGCTTATCTTCTTGGTTACATTCAAGGACTTCGAGATATTCTAAGAGATTCCATAGACCAAATATTCATGTCGTTTTTTCTAGCCTACACCCATTTCCCAGTAACTACCCGATCTTTCAAAAAATACGTTTGTTTTTATAGATGGGTTCGAGTAATTCTAGCAGTACCACCCGTCTCGCCCACTTATTACCTTCCCTGCTACCAAGTTTACCACTAATAACCTATCTACCAGTAAATCCTCCCATCATCTGATTACAAACTTAATTGTTTTCCTGATACAAAAGATATTTAGGGTATCGTATACAATGTAGTACCGAACTTGGCTATTGTGGTCACTGCATTGTTGGCACCATTTTTGGCAGCACGATTGTTGAATGGAGGCAAATCAATGACGGTCACTAGGAAACTCATGGAGGTATTGAACCAGTTCTGAGATTCCACACAATCGTCTATTAAAGAGCCATTGCAGTAATTCGACTGATTACGAAATAATAGCCAAAATGCTTATTGATTGGAACTCTAGAAGTCGCCTGAGTATAATCTCTTTCCGCCGGAAGATCAGATCGCAGTTGTTTCTATATGATTTCTATCCTGATTTTCAGGGAGTTTCCTTGATCGGTGTAGCAGTGTGTCTATTCCTTGTACCATGCACTTCATCTTTCACACCGGCTCTTCTGATATTCACAACGGCAATGGCTTGTCGAGGTTTACACCACGGAGGTGTTTCGGTCAACCCTCATGATTTCGCTCCACATCATACTGGAGCCGTNGTACCAACTGGGCCAGGTGGCTGAAGGCGTCAAAGAGCACCCATATGCACCAGCTCCCACATAGACCGTTCCCAGGTCCAAATAAGCGATACATAAACACTTCTGTATGGGGAGGATTTACCAGCTCAAAAGTTAGCTTTCCCGTCTTTTCAGGGAAAGATATCACCTGAAAGTCTTGTAGTTATGAAAGGACAATGAAGCAATACCTCTCTCACCTTCCCCACCCCCTAGCCTCCCTCCCCTTAATTTCCTCCCTTAAAATATTTGATAATTACCCGTTTGAGTTCCCAAAGACACGAACTACTCACAAATCCCTCACACGCTCATGGCTGGTGGTGTATGCTGGAATAATTGGCCTATTGCAGGTATCTTCAATGCCTGTGGGGCGATCACAGGCTTCATCGGTGTCTACGTTGCCGGGCACATCCTTGACGCCACTGATAATAATTGGTCGTATGTCTTCATAATTACGGGTATTCAATGTGTTATTGGAGCTGCGATATACGGGCGTTATGGAACAGGCAGCAAGATCATCTAATTGCAAGCTATATGGAAATCATGACAGCCTGTAATCTGAAATTTCTGCTGCTCATGTTGATGGACCAACTGTGGTCGCTTGTATTCTCCACATAGCATGTTTCTTTGTAAAAAAAAAACAATGCAGAAGGCTTTAAAAATGATGTGATATATGTAATTATAAGTAAATATTCGTGATTTGTACGGAATCAGGTCCCTTCACTATTATCCTTGCATGTGAAGGGTATTAATTAGGCTGTAGACTCTCAAATATTCTAGAAAGCCATGTACATTCATATCGAATTTCTCACTTTTCGTCCAATTGCCTCTCGGTCTTTCTACTCATTTTTGTTATCGGACAAGTTTTATTGTCTTGATTGATCGGTTGTGAAAAAAAATCCGTTACATGATTTTTTTTATTTATTCGATAAACTGTCACTGAACGACTCTAGCTTGAGGTGCAGATTCATGCGATTGAATTGGTAGTGCTTATAACATTCCTGATGTAGGGAGGTGTCTCAAATTCGGGATGTCTCTCTCGCCGCGCGCGGCAATTTCGATCCTAGTGCACCACACCCTAACCCATCACATGTCTACTACTGATGCAAATGATATTGCTTGAAGAATTTTATTTTTTCTTCTGTTTAATTAGGGCGCGAGCAAACACGTGGAACCTTGAATTTCCTGAACCTTGCGTATGAATGCTAAAAAGAGTCGCCATTAATCCAAAAAGAGGAAGAATCAGACAAGGAGTAATGAGAAAGTACAGAATTCGAGGCACTAAAGTACTAAAGTTATCAACAAATTAAAAAATATAAAAAGTAAACTCAAATAGTACGGGTGCGCTTCGTTCCGCGTAACCGTCGAAACCAGGTCACGCCGCAACCATCGCACGCGGCATGTCAGCCCGCGATCTTTGACAAACGTCGCAGTTGTCAGCGGGGCATACGAATCGGTCCACGGCAGTCAGCTTAAAGTGAATGTAACACGGTTGAGTGCAAATCATTCACTCTTACGCCTTTCCAATTCGTTTTTCGATGTTCAGCTTTATCATCACAAAAGCTGCACTTGACGACCCAGCTCTCGCAATGGTTAGGCGCAGGACGTGGGTCTCGGCTAGCGAGCTCTAGTTCCATATACCCTATTTCTAGGGAATCTGTGAAGAGCAGGGCACGGGGACAACTTCCTAACGCTGGCTATTCCTAATGCACAGTAGAGGACAGGAAAAGGAATCATCCCTCAACTTTACAGCTTCTAATGTCGAAAAAGGGGCGAACTGGTAACAGCCCAAATTGGAATATTCGCAAATTGGTCAATCAGAGGAGAAATACCTCGCCAATGCGCGAAAATCATCTTCGGATAAAGGGCGAACAGGGCATCGAGTGGGCTGGCATTCACCCACAAAGCGAGAAGTGCAAGGGCCGCATTTTAAGTCGCTCTTGCTTCTTCTTTTCATGCCTCCTAGGTGAGGGAAAAACTGATGCAAGCATTAAAAATGGCTGAGGATAACAAGCCTCTACTGCGATGTAACGTGTTGAGCTATTTTCTTAGTATGAACGAACCCCTTGACAATCGACAAAAATAGGGTCTAGGACGTTTCCATATCAGACAGAAGGTGTTTTGCGAGTTCATGAATTTCAGAACTATGTAGATCGAGGGTTAAGGGCAATATAAAAAAAACGCTACTATTTGTAAACAATTTTATCTTGCCAAAAATATTTAAGGCACATTTAACGCATTTAACAAAACCGGCCCGAATACGGCGTTTAATGCATAGTTGTAGCATACAGTGACGGTGGGAGGTTGTTTTTTNTTTTCGATGTTCAGCTTTATCATCACAAAAGCTGCACTCAACACTCGGGCCTTGACGACCCAGCTCTCGCAATGGTTAGGCGCAGGAC